GTCTCAGGTGCAGGGAGATGGTGCTCCCACAGAGAGATTTTTCCTGCCGTACGGCGGAAGGCATCTGAGTGGAGAAGAGCTTGACTCGCAGTGCGCCACGCGACTGCAGACTGACACAGCTCGTAGTGTAAGAACAAAAGTCAGGTAGCAGTGGTCGTAGTCGTCGTCGTAGTGGTAGTTTCAGTAATTAGTGGCAGTAATTAGTAGCAGTAGTAGTAGTAGTAGTAGTAGCAGCAGAAGTAGTAGTAGTAGTAGTAGTAGCAGCAGCAGTAGTAGTAGAAGTAGCAGCAGTAGCAGCAGTAGTAGTAGTTGCAGTAGCAGTAGCAGTAGCAGCAGCAGCAGCAGCAGCAGCAGCAACAGCAGTAGTAGTAGTAGTCGTCGTCGTCGTCGCAAGTCCTAGTCGTAGTGGGAGCAGTTGTAGCAGTAGTAGTTAGTAGCAGTAGGTTGCAGTTGTAGCGTATGGGTACTACGAGTGAGTAGTAAGAAAGTGCTGTTGTAACCAGCAGTAGCACTAGCATTTCTATGAGTAGCAACGGTAGAAGCAACAACTCGTCGTCGTGCTTGATGTTAACTGACAAGGGTATCAGGTGCGCATGGCATTAAACGTAGCAATCCTCGCACCAGCTTAGGCCGAAGCTCCAAGAATTTTTGGGAGATGCGGGCTTGCACAGACTTCTCGTGAAGAGAGTTCGCGATAAAGTTGACCATGGAAGAACTGGACTGGTCACGGTCGCTCAGCTTGCAATGATACTAACGTAAGTCAATCTAGCTTCTGTGGTGAGACAGAGATTCCAGCCACCACTACCGGTGTTGCTCTACTCCTGCGACGTTTTCTTGCAATCGTCATATCATACTACAACCGCAACAACAGCAATAGGGAAGCACCACACCACAGCACCATGGTGTAGCTGGATAGGGTTTAAACGGTTCTTAACCTACAGCTAATGTTGACAAGACGAACAACAATCATATGGCAACAGGCAAGCGGTGACAGCCTCCCGCCACCAACTTCAGCCAGCTAGCACGGCGAGCGTTCGAGGTTCAGTGTTGAAACACATTGACGTGACGAGCTTGCCTAGACACTGAAATGCTGTCGGCTCAGAATGGGCGGACAGCACGAATCCACGAAATGGCGTGAAGACTAGTCTCACATGTATCATGGGCGTGGGGTGGACACCGTACACACTGCGGCGAGCAAAAAACAGCAAACAACCAACAACGCGAGATCCAAAGCGAATCTGGTTTTGTGATTTTTGTGCCGGGTGGGCTGCTAGGGTTGGCCATGCTAGTACCGGTGTGGAAATGCCTGGCATGCGGCATGCTCCCGGTGAGGGAGTGAGGGTGCGCGGGTGCTATGAATTTTGTTTTTTTGGCTTAGATTGCTGCTGATATCTCCTGATTCTTCCGTGGTTGGTTGCCTTGGCTAGACTTTGACACGGTTGCTTCCAAAGAGATAACGGACCACGGGTGGCAGGCCGGTGTAAATCAGATGGGACTGAGTCTCCTTTATGCGTTTTCATGCCCGACTCAGGGACGGCTTCCAGGGGGCAAAACTGAAGCCACAATCCACGTGCAAGCCTATGACATTCGCAGTGTAACTTCTTTGACTTGAACTTCAGTACTCGTATCACTTGAGTTGAAACCTTTCTGCGTTTGCCTTTTGACATGGGCACCTACGTTTGCAGAGTAACCTGTCGCAAAAATTACCAAACATCAATCAAATGATGTGTTCTCTTGCTCTGCTTTCTTGGGGACGTCAGGCTGGAGCTAGCAGGCAGGTAGATGTGCCGGTGCATAAGGTGTTCACACTCACACGCACATGTGCAGTGTTCAGCTGGCAGTAGACAACGAGGTGGATGATTTCACGAAAGGTGCCCTTGTGACGAAAGAGGACCTGGCAAAAGTTGAGTTGTACGGTTGTACGGTTGCTTTGCGGGAGGTTCGAGCCAAATGTCTCAAGATGAACGAGTGCATTCTAAATATCCACATGTCCCTGCAACTTGTTCTCGAAGACATGTGCGCCGTCATCCACCGGAAACATCAATCAAACGACGATGGTCACACTGTCTATGAAGCAATGCGTGTCGACGGCATGGAATATGATCCAAGCACCTTACGACCGGAGGCAGAGAGAGCTGTCATGGAAATGGGCAAGTGGTCTGGCGAAGGCAGCCTTCCACAGATTCTCAATATGGGAACACTTTTTGTCAGTGCCGGCACCGGGAAGATCGACGTCTCCGGAGACGAAGTCGTCGGATTTGGGACGGCCTTCCGAGCGGAAGTTCAGGTTGGTGATGTCATCATTGTCGAACCCCTTGTCGCCCAGAAAAATGGAGACTCTGCATCGAAGAAAACCTTCGCGATGGCGGTCACTGTTGTCCTGTCGCAAACGCGGCTCAAAGTGGCAACGTTTGTGACAGATTCCTTGCCCGATCACATGGTGTTCGTCGTTGCTAGGTTTCAGAAGGCAGTGCAGATGCCACCACCCAGCACACCTTTCTCTGGTATGACGGCACACGAACCGAAGCAACTGTCTCCCAGAAGCTCGCAGTGCTGGTTCGAATGGGATCTCAAGACGCAGAAACGCGACATGGTCAATTTGCAGGATGCAGAGGCACACCACTCGTACCTCAAGAGGCTCAAGAAACAAGCCGAGTTTGAGCTGCTCACCGTCCTTGAACGGCCACTTTTGAGAATGTGCTTCCAAGCCTTGAAGTCGCAGGTCCGACTCAGACAGAAGACGGTATCCTTATTGTGGTAAACTTGTGTGGAGTTTGCCTAGGATCTCGTATCACTGCTCGCGCATTGCATGCGTCTTGCGTCATAAGACGTGGCGCAGCTGTGCTTTGAGTCACTCTCCCTCGGTTTAGCCGAGCAATGCCCTCGGTAATTTCACATACGTGGAGGTCGACTTCAGAGACGGCCGCCCAAAACAACAAAGCATCACGCCGAGCTTGCAAGTTGGGACGAGTTTCCAGCCCGGCCACTGGGTACGCAGCAGATCGTGCCGAGCAGCAGGCCATGCCATGCAGGATGCTCGCAAGCGACATGTCAGGCAAGTTCCGCGGATTGGCAGCCTGCAAGCATTCACGGATTCGGCTCAATTCTAGTGAAACATGTGTACAACAAGTAGCTCGTAGAATGTAGTGGTCAGCATGTCGGTCATTCGAGACGGGGATGCTGCGCCTGTTTGGCAAATGGTTTTCGCTGCTCTCTTGGTCATCGCTCTGCCCCAATCTGTTGCTTTGGTGGCGTTTTCCAGCATGGGGGTCGCACCACAAGTTGCGGAGCACATGGCAAACGGCACAGCTGACCTCGCAGGTAATGGACTGGCTGGGATGTGTGCAATTCTTTTAGCTTTTGCTTTTGTGATTGATGCTCATCGTCGGCCAATATGCATTAGACTGACGGTAGCACTTCTGTCCACGTGTTGCTTCTTAGCAGCCGCAACGCTAAAGTACATCAGCTACCCATGGCTGGGTGGTTTCGTGTGCTTCGGTGTGGCAGTGGCATCAGTTGCTTATATTCGTGTGCACCATTTCAAGCCAGCGACGGTTCCTGGCCAAGACTTTTTCGGCGCAGTTGCCATGAGTTTCGTAGTGGCTGCCTTTCTGCTCATATCCACCTGGATTGGGTGGCAAGGTGTCACTGACAACACTTGGAGCTCGTCAACGAAAGGTCGCCTCGCGATCGACAATGGTGCTGTGTACAGCTATATATACGGAAATGAATCGTGGGAGTTCCAGAACTACTGCAGTATAAACGGCACCAGCGTAAGCTTGCCAGCGAATTTGACGGATGATGAAACCGCAGCCATAGAATCAGCATGCCAGAAGTCAGAGACAGTTTGGTTCCTGCAGTGGGCCGCACCGTGCGTACTGGGAATTTGCAACTCCATAGTCGCCGGGGTATGTTGGGTTTTTGCCAAAGCAGCTTCTGCTCTCGAGCTTGAACGAGAAGGCGATGCGCAGCATTTCCAGAAAGTTCTCAAACTATGCGCATCGCTGATTGTCCTTATGCTTGGACTGATGTACAGTGCGCAGTACGTCTCCGGGGCAGATGTTACTGTAAGCTCTGCGCTGCTTGCATTGGGAGCCAGATCCATGACGGCGATTTTGCTGTTCATGTTGCTCGAGTTTGGATTCGAAAGACTTCACCAAAGTACTCAACAGGATGGCCTGACCAAAAACTTGATTTCAATAGCCAAGTCTGACTGGATGAAGGCCTTGGTGATTGGTGGCCTGAATGTGTTCGTCCCCACCCTGGCCATACTAGATAGGCTCAGGCAAAAAATCCGACGATGCACAGGCTTGGCCCCCAGCGACGATACGTCTCCATTTACCAAGGAAGGTCGTCAGGTCATTGGCGAGATGACCAAATGGACTTGGTGCAGCATTTTTCTGAAGATCGCCATGCTGGGAGAAATTTTCGTTTCGTTAATTGTCGGCATGAAGGTCACCTACGTGTTCTTTTCCTGGTTGAACGAGACACTGGCTGCTGCAGAGTTGCCATTCGCAGTTTTGGCAGTCTTAGTGCTGGGCGTCGCCTTGGTAATGTTCCTGTGTCCAATTGTACCTGGGAGCGCTGTGTATTTGTTCTCTGGTGTGATCTTTGGCGCGCAGTCACAGCTGCCAGGGTCAATTGGATTTCCCCTTGGAGTCATCTCTGCTTCTGCCTTAAGCTCTTTAGCCAAGCTGATTGCTTGCTGCCTGCAGTACGGCTTGGGCTATATGATGGGCAAGTCAGTCAAAGTGCAACAGTTCGTTGGTGTTGACAAAGTGTCAATTCGAGCAATGGAACAGATTCTCAAGCAAAATGGCTTGAAACCTGACAAAGTTGGCATTCTTGTAGCTGGTCCGGATTGGCCTACAAGCGTTCTTTGCGGCATTCTGAGGCTGAACATCCCTCAAATGCTGTTAGGAACCGCCCCAGTTATTCTGGTAAGCATCGCCCCACAAGTACTCGTGGGTGCATTGCAGACGCTGGCCGACGGCAAATCTGGAATTATGGGCATGGTTTCGAGCTCTGTTACTATGGCAGCAGCTGTTGTTCAGGCACTTGCCATGTTCTTCGTCAGCTATCGGATTATGAAGGTCATTGAGGAGGACGGACCAACCCTTGCTATGCCACGCCCAGAACATGAGGCGGTTGCAGAACTCACTCGCAAAGAGGCTGTGTACACCGAGGCATTACGCCAAGCCAGTGAATGGCCCAATATGAAGTGCGGTCAGAAGTTCCTCGCATTCACTTCAGCAGCGTGCTTGCTACTGGCAGGCTTCCTTCTGTCCACCGACTTTATACTTAGCGAAAAGTTTTGCTTCAGAAGCTTCAGCATCACGAGCAGCATCGGTGCAGCAATTGAAGTTGGTGGCTTAAACGGCAACGTGGCGAATCTTGTCATGTTCGCAGGCTGGCTGGCATTGGGCATCGCCTTCGCTGGGTTTCTGTTGCATGTGCTTCTTTCAAAGTGGCTTGCCCATGCTGCTCGATTTCACCTCCGCAGAGACTCCCCGGATCAGCCGAAAGGCTCAACCATTGGGAGGCCTCTCAAACGAGACACAGAGTGAGACGGGTAGCAGTCTGCAAAGAGCTTCGCATTTTCACCCCTCGAGCACAGTCGACACATGTACAGTACGACTTCACTTGGTCTCTGTCAGACTGTCAGACTAAGAAGCTTGTCGAGTCAAAAAACACAAGAGACGCCTGTTGAGAGGCCTTGGATGCCTTGGACGGCCTCTGAAACTCGGGAAGTTGATTGCAGGGCGGGCATGACGGGTCGATGCTGGTCTGCAAGAACGCATAGACCGGTGCATGTGGCAGGTGTTTTCCGGAAAGCACGGTGCAAGCTCGCTTTCAAGCAAGAAGGAAAGTAATTTGTGCAGATTGCAGGCCCCAGCTTTCGTGACAAAGCAAGAGGTTTCCATGTCGCACACACAGCACGGCCTAAGCCTCCACAGTGCGATGGGCCTCACGGCTCAGCTTCGTCTCTTCCTGGTTTTGGCCGTAGCGGCACAAGAGGCCCTAGCCCCGGCCTGGCTCTCTCGCGCTGGTCTCCCGTCAGCTGTGAGATTCTAAGGATCTCAAAGACAGCCACTTGGTCAGGACCTCGGACTTGGCAATGCTTTGGAAAGCTGCTTTTTGGAACAACTGCTAAGGAGTTTGACTGCAAATGCTGGGCTGCTCAGGCGGGATGGGTCGGGAAGCATGCGCTGAGTGGCTTTAGGATCGGCGCAGACTTGCGGTATTGCTGGAAACAAAGCCCAGGCATCGGGGTGGCCTGGACTTTTGGGAGGTGATGTACCAAGTAAGTATCGATTCCGTGTGCTAGGTGGGTGACAAAAATACAGAGAATCGGTTGACAACACACTCTCGGTTTCGGACCGGGCAGTTTGCAACCCGTTCTGTTCCTGGGAGTATTGAATGCGCGTTTAACCAATGATCAGAATCACGAGAACAGTCCGGTTTTCAGTGGAAGAAGTTCTTAGCTTGTGGTTAATTCCCGATGACAACATGGCTGTGTGGTTGGTGCTGGATCGGGGGCTTCATGTTCAGCGTGTCTCATGAGAATTCACTCGTTTCAGGGACAATGTGCGTCCAATCCGCTCGGAGCTGAGAGAGGACGAACCTCGCCTGGGACTACGTTGTGGCTTTTGTCGGCTTGGGCTTCGGCTGAGGTCTTTCATGCTCGCCAGCTGCGCAGCATCCTGTGCTCGGCATCAGGCTTCCGAGGCAGTGTGCAATGCACGTCTGGTTGTGGAAGGCAAGCTTCAGAAGCGCAGTGTGTGATGACACTGACAGGTGCAGATGCGACAATCTGAGGAAGCGAAAACCAGCTACGCAGCCAGAATGGCAGAGCTCGAATCAGAGCTCGCCAACAAAGCTGTAGAGGTTGAAGAAGCTGAGAGGAAAGCCAAGGTGGAAGCAGCGGCCAATGTCGCCA